CTGCGCCGCGGCGCCCCGCACGGCCCCGGGGCCCGGGCGCGGCAGCGCGGCGCCGTCGGGCCCGGACCAGCACTTGGCGCCTCCTTTATCAACCCAATCACGGCCGCGTCCGCACACATTGACGTGCGCGGGCCCCGGCCCCCTGCGCGCGGAGACCGCTTTGATGCAACCCAACTGGCTGGCGGCCGGCGCCCAGAGCCGGGGCCGGGGCGCAACCATTGCAGCGCCACCGCCGCGCGCGGCCAACAACACCGCCGAAAAAAGAACTTGACCCAACCACCGCCCCGCCCGCGCGGCGCCCGCCTGCGCTGCGCCCGCCCCTCGCCTGGCGGCCACCAACGCGCAACGTGCTCATGTCCTTTTTGCGAGGCGCGGCGGCGCTGGGGGCGGCGGCCGCGCCGACGGCCCTTCCCTCACATTCTTCGACCGGTGGGCCTGCGGGGCCCCGGGCTGCATTCCCACCGTTTGGGCGGGCTGCATTCCCGCCTTTCGCGGCCGCAGCTGCATCCTGCGAGTAAATCGACGAGCATCCCAACCTCTTGGCCAGGCTTGACACATCCTGCAGCAACCCCACCTTCATGGCAGCTGATCATGACGGCCATTTACTCCGGCCGCTCGTAGCACAGCCCAGGAACGACAGCTGTCAGTCAGGACTGGTCCAGGGGCGGCGCTCCGGGGGGGGGATGCATTGCAGCGAACTGCGGCAGGCCGGCCCCTCTCGCCTGGCTCGCCCCCTCACTCCTGCCACCCAGCGGCGTCCTGCCTTTGCACTGGGCCTTGTCCCTCGGGGGGGGGGGTGTCAGGGGCCAGGCTGAGGGGCTCATGGGCACCAGGGTGATGTGGTCCCCAGTGGTAGCAAACCCCGAGTGCGGCGACGCCCCGGCATCATGCCTGGTCAAAGCCTTGACTTCGGTCAAGGACGCGGCTGCTGCTTGTCTCCCGTGTGGCTCTGGGTACCGCAATACCTGTCTGTCTCAAAGTAATGGGTATGGTACTACAGTACTCTGAGAAGCTCCCGCTGACAGCCCCCCTGCGGCTCTAGGTCGCCAGGCCAAGAGCTTAATTGAGCAAACGACTGAATCTGGGGCAGTCGGGCCGCAGCAACGCTGCGGTGTGGAGGCCGTGCATAAGCCGCATTCGGCAGGCGCCTGCCCTCCAGAAATGTACCCCAGCACTCGAGCTTGGGCAGCTTGGGGGCAAGCGCGGCTGCCCCGGAGATGGTGGCCCCTCAGTCAGCAAACACCGTACTCATCTGTGCCAGGTCCGATGTCCCCCATCCGCCAGGCTGGCGGTTGACTGGAATGGATGCGCGCAATGCAGCATGCTGTGCCAGGGCCTTTCCGCTGTCCCTGGCCAAAGGTAGGATGCTGGCCATTGCTGGCCTTGCTGTAGGCTGATGCCATGTCTGCCGTACGCGCGTTGCTCTGCGCGCTGATCTGGGAGGCATTGCCTGCGGCGGGAGGTGGGCAGCCGCCGCTTTTTGCGCGCCGCGGAAGCAAAGCTTCACGGGCTGCAATAGCTCTCCCTTTTCTCCCGCGTATTTTTCCCGTATAAAGGAGCAGCAGCAGGCAAGGTAGGCCTTGCAGTGGAGGCGGCAGACTCGCGAGGAGGCGCGGGTGTGGCGGAGAGCACAGGCTTTCTGGTGGTTGCGATAGACTTTGGAAGGGTTCTGCAAGCAGCATGCGAAACTGCGACACCCCAGCACGCTGCCAAGGGTCCGGGCATGGTGCTACTGTTCCTGCATCCCACGCGTGCTCGTGCTGCTCTGCCTCGCAGATGGTGAAGAAGGAGCGCCGCGCGAAGGAGGTGGTGACGCGGGAGTACACCATCAACCTCCACAAGAAGCTGCACAGCACCAAGTTCAAGAGCCGCGCGCCGAAGGCCGTCAAGGAGATCAGAAAGTTTGCCCAGAAGCTCATGGGCACCAAGGACGTGCGCCTGGACGTGGGCCTCAACAAGGCGGTGTGGAGCAAGGGCATCAAGAACGTCCCCACGCGGCTCCGCGTGGTCATCTCCCGCCGGCGCAACGAGGACGAGGACGCCAAGGTGCGCGCGCCCCCGCGCGCTGCTTGCTGCAGGCGCACTCATGAGCAGACGCGGCGGCGCGCGAGGGGGTTCTATACCGAGGTTTGGAGTGCAGCTGGTGCTATTTCTTGGTGTGGCAGCACAGGGCAACGGTGTGGGTGCTCTGGACGGCGTGGCAGTGCGCAAGGTCGACCCTTGGTAGCAGAGTCATGCAAACTGCGCAGCAATCAGTCCCTGGGCGTGCGTACGTTGGCTCCAGTCTGGAGTGGCAGTGTTATTGTCAGCCGAATTGTTTGATTCTGGCAGTGGTCATGTTGCGCTGGATCACCTGCTGCGGCCGCGCGCAGTGTCAGCAGTGGGACGCCAGCACTCAGCGCTGCATAAGCAGCAGCGGCGGCGGTGGTCGCGGCGGCGGCAGCAACAGCAGCAGCAGTTACAGCAGGGCGGCTGTCGTTCCGCAGCGATGACCGCTGCGCAGTGTCAGCACGTCGGCACGGGCAGTGCGTTTTTTGGCGGCGACAGCAGCAGGAGTTGCTTTTGGGCCGTGGCGTCGGTTACTGGCCAACCCGCACTGCCTCTGCTTTTGCACCGCATGCGCATCCCACTTTTTCCCCTCGTTCCCCCTGTCCCACCTTAAACACTGCAGGAGGAGATGTACTCGTTTGTGTCGGTCGCCGGCGACCAGACCACCAAGGGCAAGGGCCCCGTTGTCGTGCAGGACAGCTGAGCGCGCTGTTTTGAATCTGGCCTGTAACCCTTGCTGAAAGTACGCTCAACCCTGTCTGGGACGGAGGGCCGCGGCGGATCAAACCCCTTGTTTGGGGATGGTGCGCACATGCAGTGGGGTGGGCCGAACCAGGCGGGGCTCAGGTGTTGCCTGGTGTGGGCAGCAGCGGATCATGGTCGAGGCGAGGTCGGCGGCGGGGTGGGCATAGAGAGTCGGGTGGCAGCTGAGGCATGACAAGCAAGCATGCGGGAATGATGCGGCATGCGAGCACGGGAGGAGCTTGTGTGCAGGAGCACTGCAGCTCATCTGCCAATGGACGCACACCATGGATGAGGTCATTGCAAAGGCAAGCCAGGCGTTTGGTAACAGGTAGCAGCCTTGCACTTAGGCATGCACGAACCGAATGGCTGTGCCAGTAGCCGCCCACATTGCTATAGTGGGCGTCGTCCTCAAGCCACACTGCTGGCTGCTGGGCTCCTGCAACGTACCCATCGAGGCTCCCTCCCCATGAGTTGCATTCTGAGCGTTAATTGAGTACTATATTCAAAGTGGTCCATGCATTGGGCCTCGGTGGGGCCTCGCGAATCAACTGCGGGTCCCATCTCCCTTCCCGCGTATCATCGAGGTGCTCCTCGGAGGTCCATTGGTAATCTCAGGTTCATTGATATTCCATCGTGCAAGCCGGTCGAGCCAGCACACCACAGCACAATCAACCGGGCCACATCAGCCAGTTGCTGCATTCGGGTTCCTCAACAAGTACACGACCAGCACGCGTCGTGCTGCAGCTTATTAGCTATTAGAAGTGCTGCCCGGGTCTACAAAAGTGTCGTTCCGCTCATCCACCCACCAGCCCGCGGTTGGACCTTTAGAAACGCGTCTGGCCACGGCTCTGCTGCATCAGAGCATGTTGGCCGCATCAATGACCGCAGCGGCGCCGCTGGCGGGGCCGCCGTCGTGGCGGCTGCGGGATGTTGCGGCAAACGGCATTGTTCGGGGCTCGCCTGCACCGCTGAGGGCTGCCAGCCTCAGCTGGGCAGCACGCAGGGCGACCCGTCATGTGCGTGTTGCGCAGCCGCAGACAGAGCTGGACACTGCCGAGCTGCTGACGGCGGCCGCGCAGCCGGTCAACGGCCACGGCCTGTCAGGTGCGTACCCGACTGTGGCGGCCTTCGAGGCGGCCGCCCACCGAAGTTGGCAGCAGCAGCGGCAGCAGCAGCAGCCGCCGCAGCAGCAGCAGCGGTGGCAACTGGCAGCAGCCGCCGCCGCCGGCGCCGCGCCGTTCGCCGCGCTCACGCCGGCGTTTGCGCCCGCGCCCGTGGCGGCTGACCAGCAGGCCCTCGAAGCGCCGCCGGCGGCCGCCGCTGCGGCTGTGGCTGCGGCCGCGGCGGCGCCTAAGGCCCTTAGCAACCTCGCGCAGCGGATTATATCCGGCGTGCTGCTGGGGGCCGCCGGCGCCTGGGTGATCTCCGCCGGCGGCGTGCCTTTCCTGGCCGCCACCCTGTTTGTCGTGTACCATGCGACCCAGGAGTACTTCGGCATGGCCACCAGCCGCGGCGCCGCGCGCGGCGACGAGCCGCCGCCGCCGGCCGTCGCGGCCGCGACGACGGCGCTGTGCCTGAGCATCGCGGTGCTCACGCACGCTCTGGGCGTGCGCTGCGGGACGGCGCTGTGCGTGGCGTCGTTCCTGCTGCTCGCTCTAAATATAGTGGCTGCGAAGCGCCCCTCCTTCAGCGGCCTCACCAGCTCGGTCTTCGGGCTCTTCTACTGCGGTGAGCAGCGCGGCGGGGCCCGCTGGCACTTTGTTCGGCGAGGCGGGCGGCGGGCATCGCCTGGCTGAGCGCCAGAGGGGGGCGGCGGCGCAGGCAGGTGGCGAGGCGCAAGAGGGCGCCTTGCCACCGCCCGTCATCCGTCTAATTCCTCAGCCCCGCCTTGGCGGCCGCAGGCTACCTGCCCTCCTTCTGGATCAAGCTGCGCGCGCTCTCCCTGCCGGCCCCTCAGTCCGCCCTGCTGGTGAGCCAGACGAGGGCCCCCAGCTGGCGGGCAGCAGGCTGGGAGGGACCCGACAGCGGCGTCTATTTGCCGCCTGCCAAACTCAGGGGCCGGGGCGCGGCTGCCGGCCTCCGCAGCCGCCCGCACAGCACGCCCTCCCGCCGATTGGCGCCACCTTCAAACCACGCGCCCGCGCGCCCCCGCGCCCCGCCAGGCGCTGCCCCAGGTGACGGTCGGCTTTGTCGCGACCCTCGTGACCGTCGCCTGCGTCGTCGCCGCCGACACGGGCGCCTACTTTGTGGGCAAGACCCTCGGCCGCACGAAGCTCACAGACATCAGCCCCAAGAAGACGGTGGAGGGCGCGGCCGGCGGCCTGGCCGCGTCGGTCGCGGCGGCGCTCGGCCTGCGAGCGCTGCTCGGCTGGCCGGGCAGCGCGGTGGCGGCGGTGGGGTACGGCGTGCTGACGTTTGTGTCATCGATTTTCGGGGACCTCATCGAGAGCGTCATGAAGCGGGATGCGGGCATGAAGGTGAGGGAGAGGGTGCGCTGCGGGCTGCCGGAGGTGAGGTTGACCGGGCATGAGGGGGAAGCAAGGGCGGAGGGGCGACTCGCTGATGGTGCGGATGTGGCGGCCGATGGAGGTGCATGGCGCTGGCAGCCGCCCGGTTGTACCGCCCACGCCTTGGCAGCTGTGGCAGTGGGTGTTCGACGGGCACCCCTTGCGCTTCTCACACCCCCTCACGAAGCCTTGCTGACTGGGCCGCCAACATGTCTGTCTACCCATCAAAGCGGCGGCCTCACCTCCCGCTCGTCCCTTGCGCAATCCCCTCCCAGGACTCTGGCAACCTCATCCCCGGCCACGGCGGATTGTTGGACCGCTTTGATTCCTACATCTTCACAGCGGCCATGGCCTGGTCTTACGTCACTGTGGTCCTGCCGCGCTTCGGACTGGCATAGGCTCCTCTGGACTGTCCCATGGGGGTCCGGACTGGGTCGTGGCCCCCTGGACTGCCCTGGGCCCATTTTGGCTGCCCTAGGACCCTCTGGACTGTCCGCGACCCATCTGGCGCGCAGCCTGGCGGGCCATGGCAGCGCTTTGGACCTGCCCGCGGTGTGGAGTGCAGATGGGAAGCTGCAGCACAGGCGAGGGCGTCCGACGTGCCGCCAAGCGCTAGGCATTATGTGATGCACGACGGCGGCCTCGAGTAGATTTTCGCCAGCGCGCATGACGGATGGCATTAGATTCGAAACCACACAGCACCGCGCCGCCGCGGCTACCTCGCACCGGCCGCCCGCCACCAAACGCCCCGCGTAGGGGCGCACGCGGTCCGCGCCGACGCGCCGCCCCCGCGCACACCTCTCCTGCAAAACCGTCGACGGAGCCTTCATTTTTGAGCCCGCGCCGCGGGGGCTTTGGCCGCCGCGCGCCGCGGGCGTATGGGTCATCACCAGCTGTAGGCTTGAGTGGGCCTCGCCCCCAGCAGAACTATGGGTTGATGCTCGCTCCCGAAAGCCGCCGCTCTGCCTTTGTACCCCCAGTGCACAAGTGCCGCCCAGGGCACGCGCCAATGCGCCTCTGCCCGTGGCACCCGCGCCGCGCAGCCCACCGGGCCCGGGCTTGCCGCCGCGCTGCCAAAGTTTGGCCCCGGCGCGCTTTTTATCCACCGCGGCTCGCCCTCTCTGTGTGTCGATCTGTATTGCAGCCAGGCAGGCGGTGCCGCCGCACGTCGATTTCCCGGCAGCTTCCCAGCAGGCGCCCCGCACTCGTGCACACAACCCTCCCTCTCCCCTTTCGTCCGTGCGACAGCACACGACGTGCATTTGTCGCTGATAACCCTACTTGCATTCACCCGCACAGGCCCTTGCGCCCCTAACTCGCTCGGTGCCACCGCACACCTTCGCGCAGCCCACAACCCCACGTGTGTTGCTGGGCGGCTTGCCCTTGTGCTTCTTCGTCCCCACGCTTGCGCCTTTCTAGTATGGTAGATCTAGGTATGGCAGATCTGACACTCCCATGATCCATGTTTGGATCGATGAACAAGAGAGCAAGCCTGATCAATACTCGGCACGCTGCGGCAACGGGGCATAGAACACTCCCCGGATCTCAGTCTGGACTCCCTCAAATGTAACATAAGGTTACATAATGCCACAACTGGCCGGTGCATCACAAAAGCCTGTCTGTGCAAACCCTGGGAGGTGGGGCGCCTGGCCAAATGGTGAAATGTGTGCGACAGCTCTCTAAATCACAAAGTGCTCGTATGCATGCTCAAAGGCACGGCCACCGTGGCGCCAGAGGTGGCGCAGGCAGGGAAGCCGGCATCACTGCGAAGCTCGACTTGGGACTGCTGCTGATGCCACAATGGTGACTCAGCACAGGGACGACTCATCGCCGGCCGAGTGGCGCCGGGAAGCCATGCCGCCAAATAAGGGTTACAATCCATCACAACTTGGCCACAATGGCCTCCTCCAGCCGCACATAGTATGTCAGCTGCGCCACCAGCGCCGCGGCGCGGGCGGTGTCCCCTGCCCCAAACGCGGCCGACAGCTGGCCCTCCACGCGCCGCTGGTCGGACCGGTTTGCCGCCAGCAGCTCCCGCAGCTCCGAGGGGTCGCTGGTGCCCTCCACCCGCTCCCGCGCCTCCATGACCTGGGGGCGCGCGGCCCACAGTGCTCTCAGCAGCGCGCGCGGCGCCCGCACCAGCCCCCGCCCCCCAACGTGAGCGTGCTGGCATGTTCCATGTTGCATGTTGCATATTGCACCGCGCTCCCGCCTCGGCCAGCCGCCTGTGCCAGCATGCTGCGAAGCAGCATGCTGGCTTCGCAGTGCCACGTTGTGGCGCTAGGCGGCTGCGCCCCCCCTGCTTGTCCCGACACACCCTGTCGAATCCCTACGGGTTGTGCCCACCTCCATCAGCAGCTCAGGATCCTCCAGTGTGCCCTCGAAATGGTCGCCGGCCGGGACGCCCGCAAGCATCAGCTGCGGCAGGCACCGGGGCCGGGGAAAGGGGGCGGCGGCGGGGGTTGGCAGGCGCGGGGGCGATGAGGCCGCCGGCGCTGAGCCGAGCGCAGAGCAGCCCGCAGGCCCGCCGAGAGGCCGCATAACCCCCCCTCCCTCACAGCAGTCCGCGGGCATCTGATCAATCGGCGCCGGGCCGGCGGGCGAGGGCCCACGCGGCGGCTCACCAGGTAGTTTGCCCGAGACAGCGACCGCCGCAGCACGCCGTACGCCTGGTTGATCTGCGACGCGTGGCCGGCCGAGAAGTCCTGCTCCTCGGCGGTGCGGCTGACGGCCTTGTCCGGGTGCAGCGTCCACTGCAGCAGCTTGTAGCGGCGCTCGAGGGACGCCTCGTCGATGTCAAAGGTTGGCTGCTTGCTGCGCGGCTCGGCGGCAGGTTTTTGGTGGTGGGAGAGAGGTGGGGCGCACGTAGGGGGGGCGAGGCGGCGTCAAAGCCTGGGACGGGTGCAGACGTTTGCAAGGAGGAGGGGGGCGCAGCAGACCTACCAATGATCAGGACAGCGGACCCGCAACCTGCAGCCTGCACGTCAAGTGGCTGTCTGCCGTGCTTGGCGCTCGCCGCAGCCGTCGTCAAAACACGCCGCTCGACTGAGCGTCTCAAACCCATGCTCACATGCCTAGGAGGTCAAAATATGTTAAGCTGCTGTCCACCGGCTGGATCTTGTCGCACGACTGGCAAAGCAGGCTGCCGCGCTTGTGCCGGTCATGGCAGCTCCAGCAAGTGTTCTCCTGCTGCTGGAAAGATGCTGGGTGCTGGTGGTGCGTGCCGCCGCTGCCGTCCTCGCTGCTGCTCTCGTGCTCTTGCGCGTCGGTTTTGTGGGTTCGATGCGCCGCGCCCGCCGGCGGCCCTGGCCAGGGCGCCGAGGATGAGGAGGCCCCCAGGTGTGATGCGGCACGTTCTGTACGCCATGGCCGTAACTCCATGCAAGGGCTTGCTCCCGTGGCAGCGCGCTGCAGCGCTGCACCTGATGCCGCCGAGCACCGCGCGGCATGTGCGGCATGCACAAGTGCCTCTGCAAAAGCACGCATGATGCGTTGTGTAGTACGCTGCCTGATGTTGTATGACTCGCTGTCTCTGGCCGCCAAAAAGCGGCCTTTCCTGAGCAATCTCGCAAGTTGCTGATGTCAAGGACGCTGGGCGTAAATCACCGCGTCCTGCAGGGTTTTCGGTTCGCAGCAAAAACCATGAGGGCTGTACGTTTTGACAGGTGCAGCACCGCGTTCAACCTCCTGTAGACATAGCACGCAGGTGATGCGTGCGGCGACCTGTGGTGCCGTGAAGGAGTCAGGTCCCAGCGCCGTGTTTGCAGGGAGATGAGCAAGGGCAGCGGCATACCGTACAAGCACGGAGTTGAGTGCAAATTGAATTTCACGCAGTGCAACATTTATGCAGAATGTTGCGGGCTGAGTCATGTTCTTTGCATGGAAGCCTTGGGTCAAGCACACTGATCACAGCTGAGCGTCATTGGACCGAAGTCGTGCCCGTAGTGCATCTCTTGCTAGTTTCACGCGCTTGCTTGCTGCAAAACCTACTAGAATGACCACCTCTGCAACGCCAGTAACCCCATTTTTGCCATATCTCCACCGAGGCTGCTACAAAGAGGAAGCAGGTGGCATGCTACAAAGAGGAAGAAGGTGGCATGCGGATGTGCATCGCTCAAGGCCTGACTCAGGCCTGACTTTGGTTGCATCCATTAAAGCTATGCAGACGGTCCCTCAGGGATAAAAATGTGTGCAAATGTGGGGGGACGGACTGGCCTGGTATCTGACCAACTCCAATATCGTGAAACTCGCTGGCGTGTATTGGCCATGATGAGTACATCTCAAAAACACCTTCTTGATGAGTGTTCAAATATAAGGGATTTAAATTATTACGCTATTAGTGGTTGAGAAGCAGGGCATGCTGGTGCACCAGCTGCTGCACAGCTCAGTCAAAGCTAAGTCGACAGCAGTCTTGACCGCCATGTCGCACTGCCCAGATCAACAACACCACAGGGCATCCAAGTGAAAGTGCCGGTAATCAGGAAGTTTTTTGAGTGCTACCAAAAGTGTTTGAGAAGAGCGTGATTGATACTGAGGGTCAAGGAGAGCATGCTGACGAGCGGGCACCACAGTTGAGAAGGCTATCTCAGGACCTTTGATAACATGAGCGATCAGACGTCTCAGCTAAGCCTTATCAGTGTCGTGGGCTTCAGCGGGGCGGACGACACGCTGCTCCTCCACCCGGATGGCCGCACGCTGATCTATCCCCTGGGAAGCACGGTAGTGCTTCGTGACAAGAATGATCCTCGAGCTCAGGTGTGGTTACTCGTGCGTCCTGCTGCCTCCCAGCCGACGCGCGCCTTTCCGCCGGCCTGAGCTCAATGCCCCAGATTTGGCGCCGGCGTGCTGCGCACGCGCATGCAGGCGCCGTCAGGCACCCCTGAGCAATGGCATGCATACCTCACGGGCATGGAAGCATGTGCGCCTTCACCCAGGGCACCATGCGCCGCACCGAACGCCACTGGGCGGGCCACACACCCTGCAACCATGAGCGCAGGAGTTCCTCCAGGGCCACACGGACCGCGTTTCGGCGCTGGCGCTGTCGAAATCGGGCCGTTACCTGGCCAGCGGCCAGATCACGTACCTCGGCTTTGCCGCTGACATCATCGTGTGGGACCTGACGACGCGGAGCCTTGTGCACAGGCTGCAGCTGCAAAAGGCGCGCGGGTGTTCCTTGTTTTTCCCCACAGTCGGTCGACATAGATAGTAACGCTCAGGCAGCAGCGGCGCAGCGCAGCAATCTGACGCGCTGTTCTTGAGTGGACATTAAGAAGAGCAGAAGTAGCAAAACGGCAGCGGTAGCGGTAGAAGCAGCAGCAGCAGCAGCAGCAGCAGCAGCAGCAGCAGCAGCAGCAGCAGCAGCAGCAGCAGCAGCAGCAACAGGAGGAGCACCAGGAGCAGCAGGAGCAGCAACGGGAGCAGCAGCAGGAGCAGCAGCAGCAGCAGCAGCAGCAGCAGCAGCAGCAGCAGCAGCAGCAGCAGCAGCATCACAACCATCATTCACAGCAGCAGCAGCTGGCGCATGACGGGCCCCCCTTGTAACCCTTCGCCCAACAGCATTGAAACACCGACCGTGCACCAGCGACCCGTAACCCCACCTCTGCATGGGCCCCGGCCCCAACCCATCCGCTGTTCAGGTCAAGATCCAGGCGCTCTCCTTCTCCCCAGATGAGACCGTCCTGGCGTCGCTGGGCGGCGCCGACGACAACTCCATCGTGCTGTGGAACGTGGCCAGCGGCGAGCCGATCTGCGGCAGCCCCACCAACGCGGACTTTGTGCTGCGCATGGCGTTCCTCAACCACGACAACACGAAGATCGTCACGGCCGGCAACTACAACCTGCGGCTGTGGACGTACGACAGGTGCGCCGCGCCACCCGGGGGTGCGCCCCGGCTGGGCAACTTTGGGGGTGAGGGGGTCAAGCCGCCAGGCAGCAGGCCTGCTGCGGAAATTGGCAGCGCGAAGAGGCTGGCGGTCCAGGAGGAGGTCACTTGGGCAGCCCGCGCATCCGCTTTACGACGTGGGCCGGCTGGCGGAGGCGTCGGCTGGCGGAGGCGCCTGTGACTGGCAAGGGCGCTTTCCGACTGCTGGCGCCAGTTGAGATGTTTGAGAGTAGTGATGCGTGTGCAGGAGCGGCAGCGGCGCATGCATCACGGGCCTGGCGCCGCGACCCCAGCGCCGCCCCGCCCCGCCGTCCACGCGCGCGCCGCAGCGCCAACAACAAGCTGGTGCCTCAGGACGCGCAGCTGGGGCAGCTGCAGCGCATGATACGGTCGCTCACGGTGGACAGCAGCGACGCGTTTGTGTATGCGGGCACGACCTCAGGGGACGTGCTGCAGGTGGGCTGGGGCCAGGAGTGGGTTGGGTGAGTGGGTGGGGGTGTGAGGTTGCTTGCACCAGGAACGCGCATGCACGTCAGGACATGGCGCAGCAGACCACTTTGTTGCTCTCAAACCCATGCCCATGCCCATGCGCGCACACACGCGCGTGCACACACACACACACACACATACACACACACACACACAATCTCTCACACAACCCACACACACACAACACACACATGTCGCGCGCCCCACCCCTAGGTCAGCCTTGACCGCGTGCTCCTGCGCAACACTGGCCCGGCCAAGGCGCCCCTGCAGCGCGGCGCCACCGCCTCGGCCGAGGCGCCCATCCCGGACCACCTCATTGTCGGCGGCGGCGACGGCGCGCTGTGCCTGCTGCGCACTGCGCAGGAGCCGAGCGCGGCCAACCCCAAGCGGCTGAAGCCCATGGGCGTCGTCGCGTCTGTGCGGCTGGAGGGCGGCGTGAGCAGCATAGTGGTGGAGGGCGGCGCCGGCAAGGGCGGCGCGTTCAGCGTGCTGGTGGGCACCCAGGCGTCAAACATCTATCGGGTCACATACGACGCCACGGCGTGCAAGTGAGCCCCGGGGGTCTATTGGTAGGCGGGGCTGGGGGATAGGAAGTGCAAAGGCGGCGCCGCGGCGTCTGCGGTGGGGCTCGCCGCGCGTCGCCCGCGCTGCCCGCTGCGTCGCCTCCTAAGAGGCCTGGATGCAGCGCGTCGACGAAATGCAGCCAGCTGCCTCTCATGTTGCTTCACCCAGGTGTGCGCCATAGCTGATGCTCGATGCCACCTGTGGGTGGCCGGATGTCAGATTACGTACCTCGTGCGTACATTTGAAGCCAGCCGTAGTCCCCCCCCTCACCCAAACCCCCTCTCCTGAAACCCCCAGGCTGTCAGAGGAGCTGCTGCAGACGGCCCACCCCGACCGCATCAACGCGCTCGCCTTCCCAGCGGGCTACAGCGAGGTCTTCGCCACCGCTGCCGCGGGCTGCGTGCGTGTGTGGCACCTCAACAGTTGCCGCGAGCTGCTACGGATAGCGGTGCCCAACCTCGAGTGCAAGTGCATCTCGTTTGCGGTGGTGGGCGGGGCGGGGCGGGGCCACGGGCCCGCGCGGCACGTGATGGGCGCTTCGCGGGACGCTCGGACCAGCAGTGGCGTGCGGCCGCGTGCGCGCCGCCGCGCCTTGCAGGCTGCACCCGTCCTGACATCGAAGCCTGTGGCGGTGTGCGCGTCAAGGTCTGCACAGCTCCGCCGGAGCTGGCAGCCTGTTCGCCATCATCGCTCATCGGTCCCAAACTCGGGCCCCTTCGTCATGCCCGGGCCCCCACGCCCCCACGCCCCCACAGGACGGCAAGAGCATCATCAGTGGCTGGAGCGACGGCAAGGTGCGCGCCTTTGGCCCACAGTCCGGCAAGCTGCTGTACACCATCAACGACGCCCACCACAAGGCCGTCACCGCGGTGGCCGTCACGCCCGACGCGGGCCGCATCATCACCGGCGGCGAGGAGGGTAAGTAGCGGGGGATTACGGATCCTGGGGGATGCCTAGCTGCAGGGCGCGCAAAGTCCTCACACATGCCCGGAAATGCACACCTGCAATTGCAAATCTGGCAAAACATGTGGGTTGAGGCAAGCCCCGACGCAGCGTGAATCCACACGAAGCCTCCGCCTCGCGTCGCGGCCTGGGCCCGCCCCTCGCAGGCATGGTGCGCGTGTGGCGCGTGTCCAAGGGCGTGGCCACGATGGAGGCGAGCCTCAAGGACCACAAGGGCCCGGTCAACTGCATCGCGGTCAACAACGGCGGCGGGGACGAGGCCGCCAGCGCGTCGAGCGACGGGTCGGTCATCATCTGGGACCTCACGACACACAGGCGCGCGGCGCAGGGGGTCGCGCGCAGGGGTCCACGGCTCACACGGGGGGAGGCGTGAGTGCGCGTATTGTCAGCCGTGTGCAGGGGGGTTCACGTTCCTTTCGTGGCTCATTACCGTGTGTGCAAATGGGGGTGGACAGAGCAAACAATCCAGCACTGCAGATTTGCAGAGCCTTCCCCTTCACGGCCCCCCCTGATCCCCCGTTG